CCACAGAAGCCGACAACCCCTTTCTACCCTGACCACAAGCCAGGTTAATGCCGATCCCTATAATGGACCGTATCCGACCCTTAGAGACAGGGACAGACCGAAGGCCTACCAAGTGATGGCGATCAACGTGGATGGATATAACAACAAGAAAGAGTTGCAACTCAGAAGTACGATACTACGAGTCAGGCCGCACGTTGTCATACTATCGGAAACATGTATGCCCCTACACAGAACGATCTACAACGACCAATACGCTGTCATCGGTACTTCGGGACCGGCTGACGGCGTGGCTGTGATGATACGTCAGGATGTCCAATACAGTATCAGAGCTAAGACCACGAGGGTTATCAAGGTCGAGATTGACGACCTGGTCACCATCATAGGGACCTACGGACCTACGGAACAATCGGCAGACAGGATCAAAGCGCAGTACTGGGATCATTTGACTGGACTAATAACGGAAGGGAAACCACTCTTGATTGCTGGCGACCTGAACGCGGGGCACGAGTACACTGAGGCGAGAACTATCAAGGGCGTGCCAAACTACACCAGACTTCAACGACTAGTGCACCAACACAACCTCACCATAATCAAGACACCACCCACTTGGCTATCAAAGCGCTCCAAAGACCAGAAACCCAGCCGGACGCTGGATCGCATAATTACCAGCACTATCCCGGATGACGACCAAGCCAGCATCGCGCAGCTCGACTGGGAGAACGCCCCTGCTGACCACGCGATACTTACATACAAGTGGACTGTACGCTCTCTAAGGCATGACCAAGGAAGACCAAAAAACGTAGCATACACAAGGGACCCCGGCGAGCCGACGACGAAGGCCTGGGGAGAGCTGAGAACGAAACTTAAGCAGCACTTTAAACAACTGCAGAAGCCGGCGGCCAAACAAAATGCTTACACCAGGTTATGGGAGCAATACAGGAAACAAATGGGTGAAGAAGGGTTAACCCTGATTGACCAGGAGGGGAATGACCTAGAGCCTGCCAAAGCCAGATCTCAGCTAAAGCAAATGCTGTATGAGAGATGGGGCATGACGGACACTAACCACATACCAATGAAGCGGGAATCCAAAGTCTATCTTGACCAACCACCCTGCATTGACGAGATCACAAAAGCTGTCAAGGCCATTAACAGGAAAGCTGCCACTGGTCTAGACGGGATACCGGCGCGACACACTGGCGACATACCGATTGAAGACCTTCAGCAGCTCTTTGAACAGATATGGACGTATACCAAGATACCGAGACAACTGGTGGACATGAAAGTCAAGATGATACCAAAAGCGAAACCCAGAACCACTATCGACAATACCAGACCAATCACCATACCGTCAACCATCTCGAAGGTACTGAACCAAGTCATACTAACGCATATTTCGCCATGCATTGAGCCGCACTTACTGCCGCAACAACATGCATATCGTAAAGGGAGAGGAACGGCTACGGCGGTGGCCGAGCTCTTCACCAAATTCAACAAACCTGGACAAACGCTACTGCTGCTAGATCTATCGAAAGCCTTTGACACTGTCAACCACACCGCACTCTTCGCAGCACTACGTGCAACTGATATCCCTAGCAAGGAATACAACCTTATCAGAGACCAATATATTGATGCGGAAGTACGAATACAGTGGGCTAAGAGGTATGCACCTGCTTTCCCGCTGACGAATGGTATAAGACAAGGCTGTCTACTAAGTACCACCCTCTTCAACCTGGTTGAAGCGGAGAGGGAGAAGAAATGCCGTGCCAAGATGAAAACTATACCTTACGACGTCATAATGTACGCCGACGACAAAGCAGTCATCTTGGATGAGCCTCAACACGTGCAACGCTTAATGGAAGTAAATAAGGAAACAGCAGCAGAATATGGTATGCTGCAGAACAACGCCAAAACCGCCCGACTGCGTCTGGACAAAGACACGAAAGAAATACAAACAGTCAAGTGGATGGGGATCCTACTTGACAACAAGATGAGTATGAACCAAGAGGTGATGCACAGAATCGGCAAAGCCAAGAAGGCAGCCGTCGACTACGCAGAAACCATCAAGAACATACCACCTTCGCTGATGAACACCAAAATCAAGGTCAGTGCGGCCTGCACGATTATACTGCCGCACCTGGTCTATCTGTGGAGGGAGATCCCCTTCACGGCACAACAGCGCGAAACGATAACCGACACAGCCACACAACTTCTGGCCAGAGTTTTCAGCAATACGAGTGGGGTGACTGCAACCTCCATACTAAGACACGTCAATGAGATTACCAAAGGCTTAACGCCCAGAATGAAGCAAATAGGCAACCTCGGGGATATCCTGCCCACGGCATCGATTGATGGTGTACCCGCGGGTACGACGGAACAGCCAGAACAAACTAACGGTACCGACATTAAGTATGCACGACTCGATCAGCAAATAGAAACACTACCTGATAAGGGCACCGCAGCGCTGAGGGTGAAAGTGCCCAGGCTACTACTACCGACTACGGAAGCTGAGAACTTTTTCAGCCCAAGAGAGGAACCGCACTATGAGGAGACGAGGGATGTCTTTACCACCACACTGGAGACCTCACCACCCACTCCTGGTTTCGGCAAGGACAAATACCATCCACAACTGGACAATATGACCTTAAGACTTAGCACCGTACAAGAAGTCGAACGGGCGCAACTGACTTGCCCATACTGCGGTGCTACAAAAACCACCAAACAAGCCGCAAGAGCACACTACACAACCGCCCATCCTGGACTCTACCGACCCCCTGCTGACGATCCCTGCTATTGCATAGCTTGCAAGAGGGTAATGACGAAACCTTACTACAGAGATCACCGATGTAGAAAGCCACCACGAGATGAATTTGCGGAGCAGAACTGCCAGGGCTGTGGAATTCGATTGGCGAATCCGCAACTTTCGGCGCACCTAATCCACTGCGTCAAATATCAGGGGCGTCTAACGCCACTGAAACAGAACTCCGGAGCTTTTGACTTTGCGAAGAAGATCCGTGACCTGATAAAGCCATCACCCTCAAGACTGATACAGAAGCAAGAGCAACTGAGCAGGACCACTGCCTCTCCAAACGACATACTTACCCAAGCCAGAAGCAGCCTGCGACCGCACACGCCAAGGGGTGGACAGCGGACGCCGGAAGCGGCACTTTCCATACCAACGCAACCACGGCAGAAACCGGAAATGCGAAATCACGACCGGCAAGACGAGGCAGAGAGGATGAGAAGAGATACGGAGGAGAGGATCAGAAGGGAACAATCGACGTGTAGTCAGTGCAACAAGGAATTAAGATCGTCACAGGCTTTGAGGCGGCATGACGCTCTTTATCACCCAGGTACTGAGAGACCAAAGGGCCTGCCAATATACTGTACCGGTTGCGATACACCATTTAAGACCGCTGCGACTTTTGTGAAGCATAGGTGTTCAGGGACTCCGGAAGAGGAGTTGGCCCCCAGACAATGTCATGTCTGTCAGCAGGTCACTCTGTCAAACCCCGAGTACTCCGCCCACCTACTGAGACATCAGATAATCGAAGGAGACAAAACGGATACCACGAATGAACTCTACAATCCGCAAGGACATACGAAGGGATGAAACAGCACAAGGTGAGTACTGAGATTCTGATTTTCAGAAGGAAGGTGAGGGCAGCGGTGCTGGCTATGAATAAGTCATGCCTACACTGCGAGATTACGCAGACGGACCCTCATCTAATGAGAAAACATTACCTGCGCCACCATCCACAGGACTATAAGCCACCGAAGGCAATGCCCATATTTTGCGTGGGATGCAGAAAATGGCTGGCAACATGGGCATACAAGGTACATAGATGCCAAGGAACCATACAGGACGAAAAGCAAGCACACACTTGCGAGGGATGCGGTGAGATTATGAGGAATCCACAACTTGTAGTACACGCGTATCGATGTGTGAAACCAACTGAGGAGGAGATTCTGGATGCAAGGATCGGAAAGCATGCCTACGACGGCATAAGAATACTCGAGCAACAGATCTCGAGTGAGGAGGAAACTGAGGTCACCCCAATCATGAACATAAGGGAGGAGACGTTGACTGCAACTAAGGACGTGCTGATGACGTGTGTACCTTGTGATAAAAAATTCACAACTACTCAGGCTAAGCGCAGACACGACAGTAGCACGCACGCTAGGGTTACGGCCATTAAGGGCAACCCAGTATGGTGCGTAGGATGCCATAGAAATTTTAGAGGATCGAGCGCATACATTAGGCATTCTTGCCGCAATACGGAGCACGAGACTGACCCCGACAGTTGTACTTTCTGTGGAGTCAAGCTGCCAAATCCGGCCCTATCGGTTCACCGGTTGGACCACTACAGCAATCAGGATAAGGAGAACGAGGACCAACCACTCAGCTAGATAGAGCACTACTTTTTACCACCACAAACGCCGCCCCGGCTAACGGGAGTATAGCAAGCAAAACTTGCAATGCTAGAAGCAAACAGACTTTTGACAAACAAACCTCTAACAACATAAGTAGGGATGGTAGGCATACCAATGACCCACCGGAACTCCAATCCGAACCTGCGCCGAGGCCTACTGATATGTCGATCGTGGGCGACGACGAAGCACAGACAATATCTGCCGCCGGATATAAGCCGAAGACGCCCGCCAACAAGGAAGAACCACCGAACACCGTGCAAAAAACAAAGAAAGCGAGGGTCGCACATGTGCAGCCCATGTCGACGACCGAGATCTGCATTGGCCTAC